GACCTGCCTTTTCCCTGCATTATGTGGTGAGCGGGTCCAGTGATGTCACAGAAGGGTCCTCTTCTTCCAGCGTGGGGTCGGCAATCTTCCAGGACTGAAGACATGTACTGTGAGCCCGGCCTGTGTGATGATGCGCCCCCTGGGGGCAGGCTGGGCTCACAGCACATTGGTAGAATGACAGAGTGTCACTCTGCCCTAAAGAGGACCAAGGGGACTGACACTATATCTATATACTGTGTGAGGGGAATTTATCAAATTCTGGAGCCGTTGTTCACGGCAACCAATCAGCTTCTCTCTTTCATTTTCAAGTCTCAGCGGAAATAACTGAAGAGAGAAGCTGATTGGTTGCCTTGCTTGTCTGCTCCAGTTTGGATAAACCCCTCCTGTATGTATGGGGGGGGGGTTAATTTGTTAATTTTATTTGCTGGTCCCTTACTTTTAGTTTACATTTTCTAAATCCATTCCAGGTGCATCAAAGCAAAAGTTGTTCTAAGTCCTACAGTTCATTTTCATTCTAAAGCAGCCACAGCCTGAATAAAAGAGCCGTCTCCTGCCAGCATGGTCCAGAGTAAAGCTCATGCTCTTTGCGGAAGCGGTGGTCTCCCTGCTGAGGTCCAGCACACCCCCCACTGAGTAAAAAAATCCTGCTCCCTGCCTGCATGCTGGAGAGTAAAATCCATGCTCTCTGTGTGGAAGCAGTGGTCTCCCTGCTGAGGTCCAGCACACCCTCTGCTGAGTAAAAAAGTCCGTCCCCTGCCAGCAAGCTGCAGAGCACTGTTCATTTTGACAGCAAATTTAATTTTTATTTTTAGTATTTTAGTCATCTGAATAAATTTAGTTTTAGTCGCCTAAAATTGAATGGGTTTATTTTTAGTGTACAGGCAGTCCCCCGGGTTACGGACGTCCGACTTACGGACCGGGGTCCACAGTTCTCCTAAATGTCCCGGCAGCCGCCGGGACATTTAGGAGAACTGTGGCTGCAGCGGCCTATCTCCCTTCAAATCCGCGCTGC